GGTGGGGAGTGTGAGGGTGTGGGGGGAGTGTGTGGTGGGGATTGTGAGGGTGTGAGGGGATTGTGTGGTGGGGATTGCGAGGCTGTGGGGGGGAGTGTGTGTGGTGGAGAGTGTGTGTAGTGGAGATTGTGAAGGTGTGGGGGGAATTGTGTGATGGGGATTGTTAGGGTGTGGGGGGATTGTGTGGTGAGGAGTGTGTGTAGTGGGGATTGTGAGGGCGTGGGGGGAGTGTGTGTGGTGGGGAGTGTGTGTGGTGGGGATTGTTAGGGTGTGATGGGGATTGTGTGGTGGGGATTGTTAGGGTGTGGGGGGAGTGTGTGGTGGGGAGTGTGTGTAGTGGGGATTGTGAGGGTGTGGGGGGATTGTGAGGGTGTGGGTGGGAGTGTGTGTGGTGGGGATTGTTAGGGTGTGATGGGGATTGTGTGGTGGGGATTGTGAGGGTGTGGTGGGGATTGTGTGGTGGGGATTGTGAGGGTGTGGTAGGGAGTGTGTCTGGTGGGGAGTGTGTGTGGTGAGGATTGTGAGAATGTGGGGGGAATGTGTGTGGTGGGGAGTGTGGGTGTGTGGCAGGGAGTGTGTGTGTGATAGGGGTGTGGGGGTGTATCTGACACTGTGTGTTTGTCCATCTCTGGGTTGTCATCTTATCTCAGTCTAAGAGACATGGGCTTCAAGAGTTTGGGGAAAAAACCAAACTGCACATAAAATTGTGAATGGGACTGGCGTCTGTGAGAGGGCAGTCTATGGCTTCCAGTAGACCCTCAGATGTGTGAGAGCCCCCCAGTAGGTTATAGAGCATGGGCTTGATGAGAAATGAGGACACAAGGAGTGGAAACCTCAGGCAGAGACCCTGAAAACCTCCTCCTTTACTTCAGGGGCTCTTAATCTGCAAGCTGACCACCTTGGAAAGGCCATTCCAGACATTTCCTAGACTTTTCATTGGGCCTGCGTGGAGGTTTCTGGGGGGAAGTGTCCACATCTTTTTGGCACATCAAAAGTTAGGAAATAAGAACTTAGGAATGCTCAGGGCAGGGCTTGGGGCTAGTTCTCCCGCAACTGGTTATGCAACCCAGTTCTTTCCTGAACAGCCTGACCCTACTCTCTCCCTCCCACCTTGTCTTCTTCATCTCTGGGGCTGTCCATTGGGACACCTTTGCTATCTTTTGGCTCTAACATCTTTTTGTCTTGGTCTGTCTTTCTTTCCTGCCATGGTGATCTTGGCTCAGTCTTTTGCTCTGTCTGTACCTTGTCTCCTTCCTCTTTTGCTCACTTTCTTCAATTTTAAACTCCCTATCACCGTCCATTTGCATCTGATTCCATCTGAAACTCTCTCTCTCCCCTTTTCTGTCTCTTTCTCCTCTTCCTCACTCTATTGTCTCTGTCTCTTTATGTCCCTGTGTCCCCTTGTCACTGTCTCCCTCTATGTCTCTCATTGTCCCTCTCCGTGTCTCTCACTCTTTCTTTGTCTGTCTGTCTCTGTCCTTCTTGCTCTACATGTCTGCCTTGATTCTACGGTCCTTTCTCCCAAAGGATGAGGACCCTGGGCATTGGGGTTGTCTCTGGATGGGGCCAAAAGGTGGAGAATGGGGATAGAGACAAGTCAGATCATATCAAGACCCTCCCTGGTTCCCCAGTGCCAGCAGGTTAAATCCAAACACCCCCCAGCTTTCATGGCCCTCCAGCTGAGCTCTTTGCCCTGGTCCCCTTCTGTAATCTACACTCCAGGCTCCCATTGTTCATCTAGTTTCTCAAATACGCCTCCACCTTCAGGCTTTGACCTTGCTGTTCTCTCTGCCTGGACCACTCTTTCTAGAGGCCGATTGACATCCATCCTTGACATCTTAGCTTAGAAGCCAGTGCTTCAGGGAAACTTTTCCTCACTGAATCAAGAGTAGTCAGTCCTTCCTATTTTGTGTTCCCAAAGCCCCTTTTAGAGCATTCATCACAATTATGATTCATTGTAATAATAATCACCACTTCTGTGAGCACTTACTTTGTGGCAAGCAGTTCTAAGCACATTGCAAGCATTGATTAATTTAATTAGGTACTATTTTGTGGCCAAATGATAAATGCCCATCTTCCCTGCTGGACTGTAAATTTCCCCGGGCAGGAACCATGTCTCCACATGGCATGTCCAGTGCATTATTTTCAGCACTCCCGTAGAGCACTGAGTTCAGAGTAGTGCTCAACAGATATTTTATACCAAGGTATAGAGAGGTTAAAATATTTTCCCATGGTCCAGCTTACCAAAATGTGCCTTTGGGACATGATCTTACTTCTTAAGCCCCTTCTAGGGTTGCAATGAAGATGGAGCAGATTAAAGCAGGTAAAGCAACGGGCATATACTAACAGCTCAATAAGCAAAGATCTCTCCTTGATGGTCTCACGGAGGGGGTGGCACCTGTGCTCTGGGAAAGGGAGTGCAGGCCTGGCTTACCTATGGAGAAGGGGATAAAAGCTTCATTCTTCTTCAATGCCCCATTGGCATCCAGAAAGCGGTCAGGGTTGAAGACTTCTGGTTTTTCAAAGTAATGTGGATCATTGATAGCCGAGTGCAGGATGGGAAATACTTCAGTGCCCCGAGGGAGGGTCACAAGGTCAAGATATTGCCATTCCCTTCCTCAGTCCACCCCTTAAAAAACAAAAACAAAAACAAGAGGGACCTAGTGATAAAACCAGACCAAACCAAACCAAAACAAAAAATTTAAAAAATAGGTCAAGTCCAGAGATTAAGAGAACCCAGATGGGCCACACAAGAGAGATGTGGGAGCCCAGCTGGCCTCACCTTGGGAATGATGTACCCTCTGAAGCTAGTGTCTTTGGTGACCATATGGGGCACACCAATCGGGAGGAGGTCCCCGAATCTCTGAATCTCATGGATGACTGCATCAGTGTATGGCATTTTGGCTCGGTCATCAAGGGATGGAAGGCGGTGTGGGCCAATCACCTGGTCAATCTCTTTGTGGATTCTCTCTGCACAGATGAGTGGGGACAGGGAACCTCATTTTAAAAAGACATTTCAGCAGGGACATTGCTTTCTATGGGCCAGTGAGCCAGGGAAAACATATAATAAATGGTTAGGTCATTGACACCTCTCAGAGCAACCAGCCTGGGGAAGGGGTAGAGGGGGAAGCAAGAATTCTCACCTTTTGAAATCTAATGAATACTATGAATTCTCCCCATGGGGCACAGGTAAGCACACACACACACACCACACACACACACCACAGTTTTGCATAGAATTTCAGATTAAGAACTCAAGGCTATAAGCCTGCCAAAATTCTCCCTCTAAAAAGAGTTGAAAATGGGCGCCTGGGTGGCTCAGTTGGTTGAGCGACTGCCTTCGGCTTGGGTCATGATCCTGGAGTCCCGGGATCGAGTCCCGCATCGGGCTCCCTGCTCAGCGGGGAGTCTGCTTTCCCTCTGACCCTCCTCCCTCTCATGCTCTCTGTCTCTCATTCTCTCTCTCAAATAAATAAATAAAATCTTTAAAAAAAAAAGTTGAAAATGAACTAATAATTTTTTTTAAAGATTTTATTTATTTATTTTATTTATTTATTTGAGAGAGAGAGAATGAGAGAGAGCACATGAGAGGGGGGAGGGCCAGAGGGAGAAGCAGACTCCCTGCCGAGCAGGGAGCCCGATGCGGGACTTGATCCAGGGACTCCAGGATCATGACCTGAACCGAAGGCAGTCGCTTAACCAACTGAGCCACCCAGGCGCCCGAAAATGAACTAATAATTATTGTGTGTCTCTTACAGACCACACTGTGCTAGGTCTTCAGGAATATAACAATGAAATAGATCAACAGATTAACCCGCGAAAAACTGAATAAATAAATGAATACATAAATCAATCAACTTATGAATGGAAAGATTGATGAATGGAAGAGCACTAATGAATGCATGTATGTATTTATTTCTCAACATGTGAATTAATGAATCATTAATCATTGATTAATAAATGGCCCATAGACAAATGAACCTGATTAACCAACAAATCACATAAATGGATGGCTGGCTAGATCTATAGAGGAATAAGTAAGTAATTAAATTAATGAAGGAATAGGTAAATAAAGGAATGGATGGATGGATTGAATGATAAATCAATAAATCAGTGATGAATAACCGAGTGAATTAATAAATGAATAATAGATGGATGAAGGATGGAATGAAAGAATGATGGAAGGGGCACCTGGGTGGCTCAGTGGGTTAAGCATCTGCCTTTGGCCCTGGTCATGATCCGGGGAATCTGGGGATCAAGTCCCACATCAGGTTCTCTGCTCAGCAGGGAGTTTGCTTCTCCCTCTGCCCGTCACCCTGCTCTGGTGCACTCTCTCTTTCTCTCAAATAAATAAAATAAAATCTTTTTTTTTTAAAGAAAGAACGATGGAAGAATTAAGGAATGAAATCTAGTTCATAGGACAGATGAATACATGCATGAATGAATGAGCCAATGAATCAATGACAAATACTTCATCCGATTAATCACTGTTTCAAAAGATCAACAGATGAATCAATGAATCCAAATAAAGAATGGAAGTCTATGTCATTGGATTAATCATTGATGAAAGAATCTGAGTGTACAGGTTAATTAATAAGTAAAAGGATGGATGGGTGAATGGATAGATGAGTCTGCCTTTAAGTGATGGGAGGAAACAGTGGGAGAACACACTCACAGATTGGTCATCCATCCACCCACAGGACTGGCTTAGTTAGGGGCTCATTCAATACCTATAGTGGTCCTGGTGTAAGAGATGAACACTGCCTCTCTCATTCGGGAAGGACGCCAACACCACCCCCCTGCAGCCCCCAAAGCAGTCAGAAGATCCCCCCCTCCATGGGCTGTCCCCGCCCCCCCACCTGTGATGTGGGGGTATTTGAGCAGGAGCAGGAATCCATAGCGGAGCGTGGTGCTGGTGGTCTCCGTGCCGGCGAAGATGAGCGACAGCACGGTGTAGATGAGGTTCCGCTGGTGGAACTCGCTGCGGGGGTCGGCCTTCTCCTGAATCCATGGGGAAGCAGGGGGGCTTTGCTGCACGCTCGTCCCTCGTCCCTCCCTCGGGGCGCCCTCCCCAGCTTCTGGGTTTCTCACACCGTCTAGTCCGGTTGACATTTCTGTGCCCTCTGTGCGCCCAGCTGGGAATCCCTCTCCGTCTCTCTGCGCTCCGTCTCGGCTCCAGTGCATTTCCCATCTCTCTGCTGTGTTTGTCTGCCCCTGGCTCCCAGCCTCTTTAGGCTTCTGTGAGTCTTGTCACCTGTTGCTGTCCTTCGGTCCACGCGTCCTGCGTTCCCTGTTTCTCTCTCTTCCTCTCTCTTCCCGACTTTCTCCTTCGTCCTCTTCCCGTCATTTCCCTTTTGCGCCTCCCGTCCCTTTCCCCAGTCTCCCTCCATATCCTGCGTCCTTCCCTCCTTCTTCCCCATTTCTTTCCCCTCGCCCCTCCCTTCTTCTCACCCCCCCATCTTTTCCTCCCTTCCCGTCCCTCCCATTTCCCTTCTCCAAACCCCACTTTGTCCATGCGGATCAGGTAGGCGTCGATGAAGTCCTGGGGGGAGCTGGGGTCCAGGGTTTCACGGTGCTTCTCCACAACGCGGTCAATGAAGCCGGTGATTTCCTGCAGGTTTTTGTAGACTTGCCTGTGTGTACCAGGGAAGTACTTCAAGAAGTTGTGGAAAAGCTCAAACACCTGCAGGAGAGAAGGGGCTGTGAGGTCGTCCTGGGGCTGAGTTGTGGGTCCCAGGGAGGGGAGCCCTCCTGGGCCCTAACACTTGGGGTGGGGGAGAGGCTCTCTTCTCCCTGTGTCTCTCTCTGTCTCTGTTGCCCTCTGTCTCTGTCTCCCCCTCACTGATCCTAAGTCTCCTTTGATCTGTTATTCTCCCATTTTTCTCCTTCTGCATCTTTCTCCCTCATCCTCACGTCTTGTTTTGGTCCTTGCCCCGCCCCACCTCTCCGTCTCTCTCCTTTGCGCCTCTCCTTACCTCTGTGTCTCTAATCACCCTGACCTTCTTCTTCTTCTTCTTCTTTTTTTTTTTTTAAGTAATCTCTTCACCCAACGTGGGGCCCGAACTCACAACCCTGAGATCAAGAGTCCCAGGCTCCACTGACTGAGCCAGCCAGGCACCCTCTGGGCACTTCTCTTGTCTACTTCAGCCAGTTGATCTGTTTAGCTCAGACCTCTCTGACTCTTTCCACCTGCCACATCTCCCTTGCTGTGCCCAACAGTGAGAACATGATGTTTACACAAGATGAACCTACTGACTACCTAGGACTATATTTATTTTGAAACATATTTCTACTGGATCATCTGAAGGTTAATGTAATACCTAAGTTCCTGTAAAAAAATAATTGTTTTGTTCCCAAAAAATGTGGGAACAGAGAGAGTACAATGTAAAATTCTTTTAATCCCTCCTTCTAGGGATAACCATTGTTAACTCTGGTGAATCTCCTTCCAGAGTTTTCTCTCTGTGGTTTTCTATGGGAGGAGAAAAGTGAAATCACCTTTTGCGCTTCTCTCAAATACTCACCCTGGGCCCCATTCCAGATTTTTGGAGCAGACTCTCCAGTAGGAGGTCATGGGAATTTGTATTTGTGACAGTCCTACACACGCATCTGACATCCATTCCTGGTTAAGAACCATAGACAGGCATAGCGCTCTTAAGTTTAATTTCTTTTCTTTTCTTTCTTTTTTTTTTTTTTAAGATTTTATTTATTTATTTGAGACAGAGAATGAGATAGAGCATGAGAGGGTCAGAGGGAGAAGCAGACTCCCTGCCGAGCAGGGAGCCCGATGCGGG